CTGTACAGTGACCCCTGAGCCTGCCCAGTCTGTACAGTGACCCCTGAACCAGCCCCATCCATACAGTGACCCCTGAGCCCGCCCTGTCCCTACAGCAGTGCCTGTCTCCGTGCCCAGCCCTGCCCAGCCGTACGTACCACGGTGCTGCCGTTGTGCATGTTGTGGGTGTCCTTGTGTGCGTGGGCACAGAAGTCGATGCAGGCCGTGACCCCGGAGAAGGGCCGGCCCGCCTGGCAGCCCAGCCGGCAGTCAGGGCCCATGTGCTCGTTCTCCACCTGCAAGGACAGTAAACTGCAGCTACTTGGGACTCAAAGGGAGGGGCTGGGAGCCCCAGGGCCACCACCCCCCTTGTGACAGAGTGAAGGCAGCCAAGAAGCCACAGTGATCAAAAAGCACGTATTTCCCAATCAAACATGGAACACTTCTGGCTGGATATCAGCGAAATAATCAGGTCAGCCAGACTCTAAGTGTCTTGAAACAGTGAAACCAATTTATTTACAGTATTATCTCTGAGCCTTTGTCACCTGTGCCCAGCTCAGGCCACAACTGAACCCTCAGTTCAAATCTGGAGGTGCAGTACATTAAAACCTGCCAAATGCCCCTGGAAGCAGCAGCTCCACAGCACTGCAAGGCCTGGGGCTGTTCCTTGGTTTGGGACCAAGCTGCTGCTCAGAGCTGAGTGTCACACACCTACCTGGTTCTGGAAAGCTTCTGGAGCAAGCTTCTTATACACTGGAGCCACATCAGTAGCCAACGTTTGCAAATTATTTTCCAGAAGTTCCTCCTGCAGAGAAAGGCAACATTCAGTGCTGGAGGTGGCTTTGAAAGCATCTCAGCCAGGTGAGAGATGCCTGACAGCTCAGCTTCTACCTCTTGTTTTATTAATCTGACTTCTGTCCTGCTGCCCTTTGTCACTAGCCACAAATGTCTACTTTTGCATGACCAAAACACCAAAATAGTTAGATACAAATCAACCAAATAACAGTGGAGGGTATCTGCTGGGGCAAAGAAACCCAACACAGGGGAACTCATTTCTGCATCAGTTCTGATATGTGTCAAGGAGGGAGGTATGTTCTACACAAAACCAGAGGACAAAACTCATACCCCATTGTGAGCAGGGAAGGAGCCTCAGGTCTTCTTTTAGTGTTTTGCTTATGGGCCTTAATCCACATTGACACAGCTCTGCTAAAAGAAGCCCAGGTTTCCACTACATTTCCTTTAACTGTACGAGAAACTGCCAATTGCATTTAACACTCATTTCAGCTCTTAGGTCTTTTCTCATACTGCAACAGAACTTTCACTACAAACAGTTGTTAACTCTTTTGTTCTTTGTAGGTGGAAAACTCAGCACTTCATGGAAATACCTACTAGATTTGGAAATAATATTCCTTTCCTTAGGCAAAGCCATATAAACTCAGAATTAGCTAGGTGGGCTTGTATGGCAGCATCGCATTTAAATTCTTATTTATAGACACAATCTCCAAGTTCTTATCCTAAGTTTTTGCTTTTCCAGAAAAACCACCAACCAACTAGTGACAGACACACTTTGTTTTCCTCCAAGGACCAGGCTTTGAGACACAACCACCTGTGTCTTCAGTTTTGCATTGTGTGGAAATGCAAAAAACAACAGCTGATTTTGTTCAAAAAAACCCAAACCCACTTGTCCCCCTACCCTGTAAACACCAGTGTACAGAAGACTCACTTTTTTCCATGCAGTGTTCCCTTACAAGACAATACTGTATTTTTAACTCACACCACAGCCAGTTCATCAGCTGGAAACGCTGCCACAAGGGTTTCTGAACTGCACTGAAGGCAACATATCCTTCATTATCTATCCTAAGTACCATTCTTCCCTAGGGATATCATACCCTTAACTCATCTCACTCCATCCAGTGCTTCAAATGATCCAAGTCTTTCTGGACTTTCAAATATCTTTTTCTCTATTTGCTTTCTTAATTGAAAATTTAATTTTATTAATACTTCCTAGCTTTATGTCATCTGCAAAATCATCAATAGCCAGTATGTAGCTAAAAGAAGTACCCGATAGAAAAAATAATGCCAAAAACAAGTGTGCCACTGAGCCTGCTCTGACCACAGACCTCCTGGAGCTGCCTCAGCTCTGTGTTTCCTTAG